AGTTTTATTTTCTACCATGTCACTATTACAGTGACTCTCAACATTCCCTTAACCATAAAGTCATTCTCGTTTAACTATAATTTTGCTACTGTTATGAATCATAATGTAAATATCTGATATCTACCCTCCAAAGGGGTAGAGAAGCACTGCTCTATTAAATCTGGTGGAGCTCCAGGCAGCTGTGAGCTTCCAGTGTGGGTTCTGGGAACCAAACATGGGTCCTCTGCGGAATCAGCAAGCCCCCTACCACTTTTTTTTTTTTTTTTCTGGATTTGTGTGTGTGTGTGTGAGGGGACATGGGTACCAGAGCACATGTATGCAGGTCAGACAGTAACTTTGGGAAGTGACTTCTTGCCTACTATTGTGGTGCTTGGGATGAAACTGGTTTCCCCTGTTGTGATGGCAGGTGCTTTGCCTACTGAGCCGGCTTGACAGCCCCATTTGCTTTGCTTTTACACTGCTGTTTCACTGGACCGATGGAGCTAAATAAAGACAAGGAGGATGGAAGCCTGAAATTCTACTTCAGATCCCGAGGTGAAAGGCAGAAGTGGCCTGCTTTCCATTTAGTGCCACCAGTCTCAGTGACAGTTTCAGTAAAAAGCAGAGCATTGCTCCAGTGTGCTGAGTTCCTGCCAATCTTCTGAAACAAAAATGTCCTGGGGCTCACTGGAAAGGCGGCCTGGATGGAGGAGACTAAATTACAGAAAACAATAAAGCATCCAGGAAGCTATAATTATAACCAAGGAGAAATAGAGCCATTCAATAAGAGTCAGATAGGTAGCCGGGGCAGTGGTGGCGCACACCTTTAATCCCAGCACTGGGGACGCTGAGGCAGGCAGATCTCTGTGAGTTCGAGACCAGCCTGGTCTACAGAGCTAATTCCAGGACAGGCACCAAAGCTGCAGAGAAACCCTGTCTTGAAAACCAAAAAAGAAAAAGGGCAATAGGCACTAAGTCTGGGAGATTTTATCTTTGGGAACTGTGGGCTGGTGAGAAGAGATATGCCTTGAGGGGATAAAATCAGCCCGCTGTCCACAAACTGTTGAGAGACTCTGGGAGAAACTCAACCCAATCCAGCAACCAGGCTAGTCAGTGTTGCTGTCCTATCTCATCAATTCCTTTAACACCCAAGTAAGTTCAGTAACTCTGTCCTGCTCGGCGTTGCTTCCTCTCCTAAAGAATAAAGGTTTTGGAGCTGGAGAGATGGCTCAGAGGTTAAGAGCATTGCCTGCTCTTCCAAAGGTCCTGAGTTCAATTCCCAGCAACCACATGGTGGCTCACAACCATCTGTAATGAGGTCTAGTGCCCTCTTCTGGCCTGTACCACAGAAAGAATATTGCATACATAATAAATAAATAAATAAATAAATAAATAAATAAATAAATAAATAAATGAATAAAGGTTTTTATGCCTTAGCCTCTGATACTGCTTAGCTTGAACATCCCAAACTCATGAAGTTGCCATTTCTTTTTTTTTAAATATTTATTTATCATGTATACAATATTCTGTCTGCGTGTATGCCTGCAGGTCAGAAGAGGGCATCAGACCTCACTACAGATGGTTGTGAGACACCATGTGGTTGCCTGGAATTGAACTCAGGACCTTTGGAAGAGCAGCCAATGCTCTTAACCACTGAGCCATCTCTCCAGCCCATGAAATTGCCATTTCTTAAGGCTTAAACTGAACCTAGGATCTCATAAATGCTAGACAGTGCTCTTTACTGAGCCACATGCCTAGGCCTAAATTTTATTTTTGGAGAGGCACTGCTTCCCCCAATCCTGCCTTAATTCCTGAGGTGTGTGCCACAACAGCCAGCATCTGCTTTGTCCATATGTACTTAGTGGATACATGTTTGTACATGTGTGAGTGCGTGTGCACTGGAGTGCCTGTGGAGGCCAGGGATTGATGTCAGCTGTCTCCTGCTGCCTGTCTTCCTACTCAGTGGATGCTGGGGATCCAAGCTCGGCTATCTGCACTAGCTCCTCTGGGGCTTAGTCTACCCCCAAAAAGAGCCACAGTTTGAGTTTTCGAGGCTCCTTTAATTGTGACTACTACGTGTGTTCACTCTCCTGAGGGTTGGAATTAGAGCTGGACCACCATGCCTGTGAGGCACACCACATACACAAACGTCCACACACACTGACATGCTTTCCTATTTAAAAGTCATGTGATGCTGACTGTGGAGGAGGCTGGGCCCAGAGTCTCATGGCCTGTTTTTGACCTGTTCTGGCTATGGTGTGGGGTAGCCCTCGCTACAACCTTTGCAGAGATAGCCAATGGCTTTGCTGGTCTGGAACTCACAGTGGTGCTGAGATGAAAGTATGTGCCACGGAGGCCAGCTGCCTTGGTATGTCTGAGCGACTGCATTCTACCTGAGTGTCCAGAGTAACCGGGACAAAACTAAGCTGGAAGGGGGTTTATCTAATTAAGTAGGGGACTCTAGCCTTTTCTTTTTAGGTGTATACATATGGTGCATGCATTTGGAGGTCAGAAGTTGAAGACACAAGTCTTACTTGATTGCTTGAGACCAGAACTCACTAATTCAGCTTGTCTAGTCAGCCAGGTTGCTCCAGGGATCCTCCGTCCTGCCCCCTAAGTGCTGGATTACAGGTGGGCACTACGCCTGCTGGGTACTGGGTACTGAAGTTCTGTCACTAAGCTTGTACAGTGAGCTATACTTACTAAGCCATCTCCAGCCTCACTTTGACGATTTCTTTTTAATCCTTTACATTATTAATTTTAGTCTTTAATTAAGCACATAAAACCATACTACTTGATATATTTCTCCATGACTCTTGTGATATTCGAAATGCAGTGTGCTGCTCACACGTCTTTTGTTTTTCTTCTGATCAACTGTATCTTTCACTCAGTTCCATGTGGATTCTCCTCTTCTGCATTTTGTTCTAGTTCGTTCCTGGCTTCCTTGATTTCTACAAACTGATTACTTGACCACAGAGATTGGGACTCCACATTATCTATGGCAGGTCATTTAACCAACTCAAGCCTCAAGTTTCTGCTTCTTAGAACAGAGATAACAACTTAATGGCTAAAATAAGGATTACTCACCTCTGCTGTTGCTTTGAGTCTCTTATCTACAAACCCTGCACTACAAAGCATTGCTATGAAGGCCAATACTAAAGCCAGCTAATGTGTATTAAAGGGTGGCTATGCAGAACAGCATAGCATGTCTGACAAACAGCTGGATGTCTGGTCGGAGAATCTTTCTGCTTACTGGTCAGGCTGAGCCCAACTACACAGACCTAGAACTGAAGAAACGTCTCATGTGGGCCCATAATACTGATGACAGAGCTAGAGATCTCTTTGAAACAGGACAGAGAGCATGCTGGGAGATATTGGGGTAGAAAAGAGGCACAAAAAATAGCAAGGTAACCACTCCACAGTTAGGAAAAGTTGTTTCCATTTAATGCTAGACTTTCAAGGATTGAGATGCAAGCTTTTATGCAATTACATCCAATGTTAAAATTGGTAATACATAATTTACAAAGATTAACATCAAAACAATCATCTATTTAGATATGCTTTTCTGTAAAAAGGAAATATATTAGCAGCATTTATATTTTCCGCAATCACACAGCCTACAGACATGCAGACTAATTCTGTATCTATTTGCAGTGATGTAGTGCTTTGCCCCGCATTTCAAACACCAAAACCCACCTGGCAGCTGGGGGTTGTTTTTATTTTGTTATTATAAAATAACTGAAAAATAAAAAAGGCATTAATTTCTACACCAGTAAGAAAAAACAAGTTTTTGCACTTACCTAACATTTGATTGTCTAAAAAACATTTCAGTTTTTAATCTTTCAACAAAAGAAAGATAAAATGGCAGCGTAGTGTCTTTTGCTTCTGTTCTTACATTTTACAAAGTTTTTTCTTTCTTTTTTAAAATTTTAGTGTTTAACACTATTAAAGGAAAACATTGAATTTAAGCTCTTTCTCATCATTTTCTTGCTTTTGATTAAAAGGAAACCCCCAAAGTGCCCTTAGTCCTCCCTCCCTCCCACCCACTCCCTGTAACGAGAAACAAAAAATAAAAAAAAAAAAGAAACACTCAAATGGGCTTGGACATGCGACCCCAGCTTCACACGTGAGTATCTTATACCCAGGTCTTGTGGTAATGTACAATGCTTCTCTACAGTAAGAAAATACTCCAAACTATTTTCTTAATTTCTCTTTTTTCTTTAATAAAATATTCTGCTTTTTCTCTGCTCAAGGGGATCTATGGCATCCCCTTCCTTCCTTCCTCCCTCCCTCCCTCCCTCCCTCTCCCCCTCTCTCTCCCTTCCTCCCTCTCTCTCTCTCTCTCTCT